AAAAAAAAAAAAAGTGAGTTGCAAATGAACAAACCTTTTAGAATCTCTAAAAGAAAGAAAGTTTTATTTGAGCCCAAGTTAGGACAGCTGCCCAGGAAACATGATCTTCGCAAAGAAGGGAGTGTTCTGGAGAATGAACCTTTTTATAGGGTTATATACTTTTTTTACATCTTGTAAAAGCTCAAAAGATTAAAGATTAACATATAGGCAGGAATAAAAGTTGTAACATCAAAGAATGCAGGAATAAGAAGCATTGTCCTAAGGACAAGGTAGTTTTCCTACTCATTTACCAAGCAGATATACAGTGCATGCTTGGAGGACTTGAGTACAGTGTCAACCCCCCCAAGATTTGTAACATTTAACCAGTCACCATGGGGATTTCTTGGTCAGCATTAGGAAATTTAATGATAGACACCCTCTATTCCCCTTAGGAGGGCAACCTTGCCTAAAACAAAGAATTCTTTGGTAATAATTTTATTTTTTCTACTCCTCTACCTTTAAAACCCTTTTCTGCAGCCTTTTGGAGCTCACCTCTATTTGCTAGATGGGATGCTGCCTGATTCATGAATAAATTAATGAAGCCAAAGAGATCTTTAAAATTTCCTTGGTTGAATTTTGGTTATTTAACACTGTAAAGTGTGTTCCAAAACACCTGGGTCAGAAAAATAAGTTATGCCAATTTGTGAGATTCTGCAGCCAATGGTGCACTCAAGGTTGTCATTGTTCATTCCACATATATGCACTGAGGCCCTAGACTCCAGAAACAGCAGAGAGCAAAACGTGCTTGTTCTCATGGAACTCACTTTCTAATAGGCAAGGTACTCAAGAATCAAGTAATATGTAATGTGTCAAAATGTGATAGGCACTGTGAAAAATAAAGCCAGTTAAGGGGATAAACGATGAGCCCTAGAAGGGTGGGGTGCTATTTTAAGTAAGGTAGAGTCCGTGTTTCTGAGAACCTGTGTCTCATTTATTCCTTCATTCAACAAATGTCTAATGAATACCCACTCTGGGACAGTCACTGCTCTACCCTAAGCACTGTTGTTAGAACAATGAGGGAAAAAGAGACCAAAAAAGCCTCTTGTCTTCATGGTGCTTACATTATAGTGAGAAAAACAATAAACAAGCAAGTAAAATATATATTAGAGAGTGCTATGAAGAAAAATGAATGAAGTGTTTCCTATAGTGAGTCTCACAGGGTTTGTCTCCCTCTCTGATTTCTTCCCATTCAAGTTTCCCTCCCTTCCCCTATTGTCCTCCACGCTATTCCTTATGTCCCACATATGAGTGAAACCATATGATAATTGACTTTCTCTGACTTATTTCACTTAGCATAATTTCCTCCTGTTCCATCCATGTCAGTGCAAATGGTGGGTATTCATCCTTTCTGATGGCTGAGTAATATTCCATTGTATATATGAACCACATCTTTTTTTTTTTTAAGATTTTATTTATTTATTTGAGAGAGAAAGAGAGAGACAGCATGAGAGTAGGGAGGGTCAGAGGGAGAAGCAGATTCCCTGCTGAGCAGTAAACTGGATGCAGGACCCGATCCTGGGACTCCAGGATCATGACCTGAGCCAAAGGCAGTCGCTTAACCAACTGAGCCACCCAGGTGCCTCTGAACCACATCTTCTTTATCCATTCATCTGTTGAAGGGCATCTCGGCTCCTTCCGCAGTTTGGCTATTGTGGACATTGCTGCTATGAACATTGGGGTGCATATGGCCCTTCTTTTCACTACATCTGTGTCTTTGG